GCAGGTTGGTATATTAATCATCTGTTCCCTGGTATTGCGAAATAGATATTCACAGACCGGATAAACCAGAGTTTATCTCTTATCCATTTAAGGATATTTGGGTTGTTTCCAATTTTTGATGAATTTGAGTTAAGATCCTATGAACATCCACATACATGATTTTAGGTATATGTGATTTTTCATTTATCTTTGTATACATACAAATTAGATTGTTGGACCATTGGATAGGTCTGTTTAACTTTATAACCTTATCAGATATTGCCACAGTGTAACCTCATCAAGAGTATTCACTGAATGCAATGCATTACTCATATAAAGAAGGTTTTGTGTAAATGTATTAGAAACAGTTTCAAATATAGAATTTTCAGATTGGAAGAAATATAAAGACCTGCCATTGAAGGAAAGAAGATAGAACTAAATGAGAAGAAAATCACTGCCCAAATTTAGACAAATAGACAGTGTTAGAACAATGAAAGTGTCATGACCTCCTTTTCTCTTGCCCTGTGCACATTCCTCTTCATCAGACTGACTTCAGTATATCACCATGCAAGACTTGTAATTTGATTTACTATGTCACATAATATACACATATTTTATACTGAATGTGTATATAGGTATACTCTATACATACTATATAATATAAATTCTGTATTACATATTGAGTAAGTGGCAATAGCTTGAATTTATTGACTATCAATGAGCCAAACACTGTGTATGTCAAATGAATATATTGACCCATTTAAATTTACAACTTCCCTATTAGGTAGTGGTGGTTCTATCTGTTTTATAAATGAGGAGACAAAAATCACAACTAGTCATATTCCATTGTAAGCTAGTGAGTAAGTAGTCTTTGCGAGAAATTTGTCACTAGGACTTGTATTCTTAATTTCTAAACTAGGTTTTATTATTAAGAACACAACATAAAATCTCATTTTGTGAGATTAGGGAAACTGAGACTACAAGTTGGAAGTGAATTGCTCAAGTACATTCAGCTTTTAAAAATGAAGGACCAGCATTTGATCCTGACTCAATTATCATTCTTAATGAATGCAAAGTCCATTTATTTATTCAGCAAATATTGACTGTGAATTATATCTATTTTCCAAGGTATTGAGCAAAAACAGAGCCTACTCTTCTGTGGAACTTGCTTTCTACTATACAGACATATAATGAACAAGTCAATAAACATATAATGTAATTTCAAATAGCAGTAAAACAAAAATAAAGAAAGTAGAGTTCAGTATATGGAAACCTGGTCTTTTAGATAAGTTGGTCAGAGAAGGCTTTTCTGAAAGAGTGACATTTGAGCAAAGACCTAGTAGGGGTTCTCACAGAATATGGTAAGAAGTTTGAATTTTTTTATTAGGTGTGATGACACCAATGAATGTTTTTAGTAGGGGAGTGACATGAGCAACTTATGTTTTTGAAAAGATTGTTCTGGGTTCTGTGGGGAGAACCATTGAACAGGAGCAAGTAGGGAATCTAAGAACTCAGTGAGGGGGTTAATTTCAAAGCAAGGGGAGAGATAAAAGTGGCTTGGCTGGAATGACTACAGTGGAAAAGGCAAATTTGGTCCTATGAGGATATATTTTAAACATTGAGGTTCCAAAGCTTTTCTTCTCCATATTCATACACTAGAACTCGATAGTAGTCATTGAAAATGCTCAACAACTCTTGCATACTCTAGATATTTTATATCTTCAGGTTTACTGCAACTCCAGATTTTAAATACCCAATAATGTACATTAAACTAAATCATTTTCATTATATTAACATTTCTGAAAGATGAAATATAATAGTATTAAAACAAATAGAAAAAATAGAGAATTTTTAATCAGATCATCAAATATCTTTTATGCAGAGTGTTTCTGGCTTACATACACACTATATATATATTACATATATAATATGTTTGTTTTTTATTGATTGCTTACAGCTTTACTAACCATGTGCGTGCAATAAATACACAAACTTATCAATTTTATCAGTAGTTTTCTGAAACATTTTATCAATAGTTTTCTGACAGTAGGTCGACAGTGGATGCTAAATACATTTTTTACTCATTTCTTAATTCATATCTTCCATAGGCATTTGATTTGAAAGGCAAATATTTAATTCTTTCTCTTCAGCTCTTCTCTGTCTTGTGTAAGCAAATGGAGTACGAGTTTCGAGTCACAGCAAGCCTGGAGGCAATAATTGATTTTTAGTATTAATATGGATATTGTTAATGTTCCTTCATTTTGATTCTATTTTTCCCCGTGAATCAAATGAAAATGTTAACCAATCTTTTCATAGTGCTACAAACACCTAATTATATTCTTAATTTTTTATTGAGTGAGGATTATGTAGTTTAGTCACTGTTGGATGTAAATCTTAAGTCAGGAAGAAAAAGTCCTTGCTTGCAATTATAGCTACATTTGTAATGGAATCAATACCAAATAGAATAATTGGTGATTTTATTAAGGTCCCACATAAAGTTTTATGCCTGGGGTTACAGTTGAGATGAAAACGCTAGGGTGCCCATGTGAATTCACAATTTTTGAAGCTTGAACTGTTGTAAGCCTATAGATTAAGTATTTTATAACAGTGTTAGTCAGGGGGACTGAATTTTGTTAAATTTGTTCTGGCCGGTGAAGAAGATTTTTCAATTCTGTTTGATAAACTGCTTTGTGAAATCAATGAAACTTGATGGTTTAAGCATTGTCTTGTATACATTGCTTGATTGTAAAATCAATTGACAAATAGAAAGTGTGAGGTATTCTGTGGAGGCTTCATGTAGAGAAATACAAATGATTTTTATGCATCTATCCAAACTAGTTCTTTTAAAATCATGTTTGTCTTTCAAGATAGAAATTATGAGGAATGTATCACTGATTAAAGGCAGTTTGAATCAAAGATAAATATACAAAATAACCTCACTGAGGCAGAAATATTTCCTAAATGGAACGGTGTATACTAAAAACTCCAAGGCCCAGAATGTTTGGAGAATATTGTGATTAATCAGATTTTCTGTTTGTTGAGGGTGTTTTTAGTTGAAAAATATTCTTGAACATACTTATTCCAATTTCATGTTTTCATATGCTATATACAAAACACAGCTGATCATTTATTGAACAATGGAAACTTTTCTGAATTGAGGGTAATTTTGTGAATACCAGTTATAATTATTTTTATATTACTCAAATGAATAGTGTTAAGTGATAATTTCTTGCAAAGCACTGTACTGTATAGCTCAGCAAATACAAAACTGCATCTGTCATTGAAGAGTTTGCAGCTTTTATGGGTTTCTTATACAAACAAATTATCATAATAATAGTTAATAATTAACATTTTCATATTATATACCTTTTTTTAAAAAATGCAGAATAAGAAGCCATAAAAATGCAGGTTTATTGCAGTTATATTAATAGATGTTTCTACCAAAGTTTCTACAGTAAAAATCAGAACACAGTGAACATTTTCCTTTTCATTTAAATGTTTGAATATTGACATTTTATATTTTAATGTTAAACTATAGATTTTATTTTTAATTGGAAGAAACTTATGTAACATAAGTTGTATGTAAATGCATTTTGACATTTTCTATTTTAGAAATGGTGCAGCACATTTATTAATCAATGCTTAATACTCTATCAGTAGCTGTATTAAAACATAAATTCATCATCACTGAAATGCAAAATAATTAAAATAAATCCATAGAGCAGTGTCTTTTCTCAACATGTTTATAATGATTTTGTTATTAATTTGCTGGAAGTAATAAAATGAAGATCATGGGTTAGTAGTATTTCTTAGAGATTCTCTAGAGTATATTCCCTTCAGCGGGGAATAACCTGGACTTTGACTTGACTAGTATCAGGTTCATGAATCAATTGCTTCTTGTTCTCCTGCTTATATTGAATAATATATCAACAGAAATTAATTTTTGTTAATGTTGGTTAATTTTATAATAAGGTAATATACAGAACTAGTAACATATTTAGATGATCAAGAATGATTTTGTTTCATATTTGTTTTCATAAGTTTTTTTTTTATCATAACAACTCTGTATTAACTTTGTTCTTTATGACTGAATCTCCAGTATGTGTCTATCCTTTCTTTACTTATAAAAATATGCCAAAATTGATAATTATTTTTAGATATTGCTTCAAGAATCTGCTTGAAAGTGTCTTTGCATGTGACATGTGTATAGAACAAAGAATCTTTGTTCTTGTGACAGGGAGAGGTGGGGGGAAATATGAAGATGTTGGTAAAAGGGTACAGACTTCCAATGGTAAGATGAATGATTTTTGGGGATCCAGTATATAACATAGCAATTGTAGTTGACAATGCCATATTATATACGTGGATGTTGTTAAGAGAGTAAATCCTAACTATTCACACCACAAAAAAAAAAAATAGTAGCTCTGGGGCATGATAGAGGTGTTAACATGTTAGAGGTGTTATAATGCTAATCATTCTGTGAAATGAGAGTATATTAAACCCACAGGTTATACACTTTATTTTTTAAAAGATTTATTTATTTATGCATACAAGAACTGGGGTACAGGCCAGAGGTGTGGGGGGTGAGAGGACTCATCAGAGACAGAGTAGGGAACAGAACAGGCAGACTGACTGAATACACTGCTGAGGGGTGCAGTGGGCGAGTCAGGAGAGGTCTACTGCACCATGTGGGTTGCTCCCTGGCTGGGGATCGAACTTGTGTTGCAGTGGCTGCGGACAGCTTCATAGGTTGCATCTTAACCCCTTGCACTACCAGGGAGGCCCAGGTTGTACACTTTAATTGTGAACAGTATTGTATCTCAATTATATCTCAATAAACCTGGAAAAATAAAATTGAAGGTATTTATCAGTGTGTGGGTCCATGCCTCTTAATGACAGTCAACCTATTTTAATTTAAAGAATTGGGGTAGAGTGTTATGGACTAGACATTTGAGGGAAACCACCATTGTGCATGTGTGGAAAGGTTCTGTAACTCCTTGTATATCTTCTTGTTTTTGCAGTGTGTGCAGGAACAGAGAATAAGCTGAGCTCTCTCTCTGACCTGGAGCAGCAGTACCGAGCCTTGCGCAAATACTATGAGAACTGTGAGGTAGTCATGGGCAACCTGGAGATAACCAGCATTGAGCACAACCGGGACCTCTCCTTCCTGCGGGTAAAGCTGTCTTTTTCTTTCTCTTCTCTTCTTTGTGAGTGAACAGTGATGTCAAGATGCATAAAAACAGGCCAGGTTACTTGTACTTGATGGCTGTGTTCTTCTACCTGGCAGAGTTCATGACAATAAGCAGAAGATAAGAGATATCAGGGCACACCACCCAGGAAAAGAACAAGAGTAACAGTGTCATCTAGACTGACATCCTGAGTTTAGACAAGTTTCTGTTGCCCTAAGATGGATGAATGATGCTGTCAGGGTGTATTACCTGACATCTAGCAAATCTGTCTCTGAATTCCAGGCAAGAGGAAAACAGGCTGGAGACTAGGAGATTCTAAGAATTAATCATCTAAGAATTGGTAAACTTAAGTAGTAATCACTTTTTCTGCCCCTTTGGACAGTTTTTATTATTCCATGTTACTACAATGAGATCAATGCTGTTCCTTGTAAAAGAAAAATGACATCCAGTTTTGAACACATGCAATTAAAGTAAATTCACAGGAATTTACAAATACTTATATAGGTTGATATTTGCATGCACGTAAGTGTATATGTGCATATATGAAGTGACATGACAACAACAGGTCCTTTTACGAGGACATTTTGTCTCTCACATATACTTACTTTGTTAACAAATGATTAATGCGTAAAACCTTCAGTTTTTTAAGTTTGTTTTAGCTAGATAAAGAAAATCTGAACTTCAAAGAGACTTTGACAAAGTGAAATGAGGATGTTTTGTAAAACTAAGAATTTATTATTTGCATAAGAATTAATAAGATGTGTTTTAAATAGTAGCATCCCTAGAATATAGCTTACCTTTTTTCAATGATATTTACTTACTTACTTCTCAGGATCACTGTCTTATATAAATCATGGCTAAACTGTTAGAATAAGTGATGCTATAAACTATTTGTCGGTAGTGAATCATTTAAAGAACAATTTATTCTTAATAATTCTATAGGTAGATAAATAATAAAAACTGATTTCTAAATACTTTAAATGTGATAAGTATGTCTAGAATTGGTAACCACCTCAAAGCTTAAATAACACTGTGAATCTTATATATTTTTAAAATGACTGTTGTAATCATATAGGGATAAATTAGGAAGATTTTTCTATTTTTAAAAATATGCATTATTATTTATCAAGAGAAGGTAGTAAACATTATCTAAATCCAAGAATGAGAGCACTTTTTGTGTGTGTACTATTGTTTCAAGGAATATTTACAAACTATCCTAGAATAGCCAGTTTAGGAATGCATCTGAATTCTGGTTTTTAAATTTTGGTTGCAAGTTTCTAACATATCCTAATTATTTTAAAGTAAATTTTATTCTTCAATGTTAAAATAAAACCTTGAGGGTATTTGAACTGATTTGTAGATTTAGTTGTAATTGCCAAGACACATAGTGATGTTATACAAAAGGAAAATTGAGAGAATTTTGAATCAGGGAAAAGATTCGTTAGTCTATTAGATCAGAATAATATGAAATATGTGTAAAAGGCAATATAAACCATTGTTTTACTGCTAATGTTTGCTATATATGAACTAAATTTTGCTGGCTTAACAAAATCATGGTCATGAGTGTAGTAAGTGACAAGTCTCTAAGTAACGTAAAATGTCTTGATAATTGTGTAATGATTTTAGAGATCTTATGATCGTATAAGATAAGGGAATAGAATGACAAAATAGACTTCTTTTAATTTTTTATCTTTAGAAATATGATCATAGCATAGAGATCTTTGAACTACATAGACTGTATTATTGAATATTCTACTTTTTTTGGGAAACTTTAAAAGTAAAAAAAAAATGAACAGATTTGGGGAAAAAGTAAATAAGGAAGATCAAGGAATTCAGGATACGGCAAGATACTATCTGGCTCAACTAAGACCTTGGTTTCATTAGCATGATTTTGTTATAATAAAATCAGGAATATGCTTGGCAATGAATTTCAAGTTTTAGCAAGTAACTCTTCTTTTACCTACATCTTAACTCTTTTCTGCAGTATGAGCTTTGATAGTTGGTGAAAGCTAATTCTAAGACTGTCAGACTGGATAAAAACATCTGAAATATTTACATTTCTCTCTACTTCTAGCTTCAGGTTTTACTTACTATTAACCTCTGCAGTTCAAAGCAGATAGCTATAATTAAATCAACAGTGTAGGGCGTAGTTTTATATTTGTGTTTGTTTCGCATAAACTCCCACCGTCTTCTGCACAGCATCATTTAGCAAAATCCTATGTTGAAGAACTCATATTTAAAAATAAATTGATAACTTACAAAAGACTTAATTCCTCTGAGTCAGAAAATGATATATTGGATATTTGTTTAAACACTAGCTACTGCTGCCTACCTATGTTTCCTTATAGTTCATTAAGTACCTGATAGAATGATCTGTGTGAGAGAGATTGACAGAATGAGAAAAGTAGTCATGATTTAGAATTGTTGAAAAATCAGAGAGGAAAATACCACTTCAAAATAACATGGAGGGCCTCCCCTGGTGGCGCAATGGTTGAGCACCGGGCTGCGAAACTGCCTGCAGCCTCTGCAACGCCAGTTTGATCCCCAGCCGCCAGCAAGGGTCCCACATGGCGCGCAGATCTCTCCTGCTGCCCGCTGCTCCCCTCAGCAGTGTATTTCGTCAGTCTACCTGTTCTGCTCTCCGCTCTGGCTCTGGTGAATTCTCTCACCCTCCCGTGCTTCTGACTGTACCCAGTGCGTGTATAAATAAACAAACAAACAAATAAATAAATCTTTTAAAAAATAACATGGAAACATCTATGGCATAATAAGGTAGGTACACATGTGGCATTCTCATATTTATTTATGGTGTAAGTATAAGAGTCTCATAGAGCATAATTTTTCATCTGTGCATGCATTTTGGTTGTCTTCATAGCAAGGAAGAACAAGCCTCAATTTAATTGTTTATGAATAACTTTCTAAGACAAGTAACCATTATTTTGTAACTTCTAGAAAGCAAATAAGAAACCTATATCAAGTATTTTTGTAGTATTTCAATACTTACTCATTAAGCACATTGGTCTAAGTTTTTCTTACATGTCACTAATTAGAATGGATGACAGCAAAAGGACCACGATGCATAAGATGCAAAATACTTTAGAACTAGCCATCACTAGGGTCAAAGAAACTGCACCTTCAAGGAATACATTGGTCAGGCATCTAGCCTGAGAAAAAGATAGGGTGTACCAACTTGTTATTTCTCCTTCTCTCTGAATTTCATGTAAAACCTGTTTGTAGTAAAATACAACATGTGTTATATTTAGATGATGACATCTTAGCTGGCTAAGATGGAGAATACTAAAGAGGAAAGAGAGAGAATAATATTTAAGCTTGTCTTATGGGCAAGGCAGACATTCTGGGCTAAATGGAATTCTCAAAGCTTTGATAGTTTCTGAAAGCTGTTTCTAAGACTGTTAAACATAATACATATGCAATTTTGTATGTATGTATTTACAGCTGGCTTTTAAATTGAAACTTGATTTTATACTAAATCTAATCATAGAACTTGTAATGTATTTGAAAAAGCTGTGCAATTTACACTTGGCCTAAGAAAATATATTTTTCACTCAGAGGTTAAATACTGTTTAATCTGAAAACATACATTGAATCAAAATCCTGATGCTCTTCACCAATGCTACATGACAAATCAAAAGATAAAAATGTCTATATGCTTGCATTGGCAGTTATTGAAGTATATTTCCCAAACTTTCTTCATTACTCATTTAAATGAGATATTAAATAAAAATATATTTGAGAATTTTCTCTATATCTTAAAAATATAGCAAAATAAATGTTGTAGCACCTATAAAAACAATGAAATTTTAGTAGAAAAAATATTAGTGTTTTGAAAAAAGGATAGAAATAATAATCCAGTATAATTTATAATTATAGTGTATATTAATAAAGAACATATTAATATATAATGAATGACCACTCACACATATATGAATATTAATTAGTAGTCATTTTCTTGGATTGAGTCAAATTAGTATAAAATATTACCCTCTATAATGTTCCTGAGAATATTAAAAATGAGAATATTAACAGATTTTTTTTTAAGTAACTAAATTGAAATGCATTTCCCAGAAAAATATGCCCTGGTTGCAAATGTACTTAAATTAAAAATAAGTCTATTAGGATGCTGAGCAGATGCAAAATATTCTTTTATACCCCTGGGGGTTGTGGTATTTAAATTTGGCTTAAATGGTGAGTGCAATGAGTTTATAGGCTTACCTTAGCCTTAATTAGAGAAAAATGCAAGTAACAAACCTATTTCACTCTATGATTCTTACATACTCTTTACTCAGGGGGATTGAGTTTATAAAGGTTATTTCTTCACTTCCTTTATTTATAAGTAGCAAAGACCTTGGTTCAAAGAGAGGAAACTAATAATATTTGTATGAGTTTTTAAGCCTAACTGCAAACATTTTGACAATGGGCTTGCTTATAATTCTAAAAATCCAAACACTAGAATATAATCAAATACAACCTCTAAAAATTCATAACTATGTACATTTTCATTAGCTTTGTTTTCACTGACAAAATGTAACACTTTTTTCTCAAAAAAGGGAATACTTAAATTTGAAGAGCAATTTTGTATGAGACCAAATCAATTTTAAAGGTCTCTTTTTGTTCACGTAGAGTATAATTTGTAGTTCAAAAGTGTAAAAATAAAATGTGAAAACAGTTACATTTAGAAGCATTGTAATTATTTCTCCTGATCCCTAATTTGAACCCATTAACTATAAAATACTATATTAAAATATATAATGAAAGTGATAAAAATTAAAATATTTGTTTTAGTAAATACAGGCCCTTTGAAATTATTTCTATTAATGCTCTACATAGTCATTTCTATTAAATAAGACTGTGTAATTGAATATTGAAGTGAATCCTTTTAAACAATTTGATGCTACATTTGTTTACAAAAATAAAGAGCCTATGAAGATGCCAGACCCAGTAACCTTGGTAAGAGATGGCTCTG